AATTTCCGAGAGGGAGGAGGAAAAGACTTGAGATATTGAGAATCGGGCTGCAGAATTCGAGGTGTTTTCCTATTGGACTTTGCTTGAGATTCCAAATCAACCTATTGTACTTGAGAAGAATCCACCCAGTTAAACTTAATTGAAGTGACAGAATCATAAGACTCCGTCATCCACTGTTACAGCACGTGCAGGCCACAAGAGGAAGGATAGATGATTCCTATTTCTAGGAGGCCAATTAGGGTTAGAAGTTAAAAGTTATCTAATCACTACTCGAAAGTTTAACTCAAGTAAAAAGTCAGAAGCAGGGAGAAAAACTATATAACGAGTAAAACGTTTTAAAAAAGCAGATAACAGGAAAAAATAATTCATTCTTTCATTAGACTTAACTGTACACACATTCCGCTTCACTGTTCAAAATCATTTCGCCTACCATTTCACATCTTATCAGTCTTACAAAAGTGTCCTTAGTTAGGTGAATGACCTTATGTGTCCACATATTCCAGCTAAAACAGTCATGGTGTAACAGAGGTAACCTACACTGTATACATATATGTATGTGTGTGTATAATTTCTAGCACAAAATTTTGATTAAAGTACTATATAAAGCTTTTATAAAATCATTACTTGCGAATTTGAGTAGCATGTTATAATATTTACTATTAAATGTTGTAAAAACTTTAGTAAATCATATGGTTGAAAACCATTATTTTACACTTATCTTATAAGTAAAAATGCCTTTACCAGCCCTACGGTAAATCTGAACTCTAGCGACTTATTACGCTAAAAATCGAGTTTCGATAACTGCGGTGAGCAAGACACGGATAACTCATTGTTCAGCTTTGTGCTCAACAGCAAACAAACAAACAAATTTCTATATTAGTAAGAAAATACTCTAGTTTAATTTTAATAGTTTAAAATCAACTAAGAAATAATATTTTCTATACTTTTATAATAAATATATAAATAATATATTTATATATATTATATATATATATGTCTGTTCTAAATATTTTAATAGTAGTAGGAAAGTAGTTAAAGTA